TGGATCAGGCCGCCACGCTCCTCTGGATCTCACACAGGGTTTCTATTACCCTGCCGTGTACCCAGAGTCCCCACGAGATGGATGTGGAGTCCTCTTTGGCTTGGGCGGAAACTGTTCAAGCCTTTTATACGGCTAACAGGCCAATCACTAGCCGCCACATGTGAATAATTTAGCACTAGCCAATCACGGTGAACGAATCTGCATACCGGTGGCGGGAACTCTTTTGCACCGTGCATTCCTCTTGCAACATGAACAATGCACTCTGCAAAAGAAGCTGCAGAAAAGGCGGGAATCTGGTCCCTGCACCGGGGTTTCCTCTGCAACAGGAAACACTCCCGTGCAATGCTCTGCAACTTGACGGGGATAATTCTGGTGCCGAAGCACACACACATAATCATGCCTTTTGGGTCATGACAAAAGGTCTTGATCTCCCACTGATCGAGCTATTTTTTCATTTCCTAGTTGTTTTATCTGCTACCACTGGGGATTTCTCCCCACTATAGTTTCACAGCTTTCCAGATCTTTGCTGTGCCTGCTTCTTACCTCAGACCTGAAACATAATGCTTCGTATTTGAAAGCTTGTCTTAGTCTGTCCCAGTCGTGCACTTTTACTGACACAACTCCTTGCCTCTCATTTAATTGTGAAGACATTGTCATTTTTTTCAGATTGTCCTGATTTTAGTGCTGAGAATGAAAATCAAGTTGCAAAAACATACAAACCATTATGACAAAATAACCCCCTTCCCCCCCCCAAAGTAGAAGGGAAAGCATAAGCCAGGGTGGGCAAAATGCAGCCTGCAGGCCGGATGTAGCCCGCCAGACTATTCTATTCAGCCTGTGGGACCCCTAAAAAATTTAGAAAATTAATTGTTACCTGCCCCTGACTGCCTGTCATGTGGCCCTTGATGGCTTGCCAAAACTCAGTAAGCAGCCTTCCACCCGAAATAATTGCCCGCCCCTGGCATAAGCTGAGGTCCGTGAACATAAATCATTCTAATGAATGATTATAATAAAAATATTTTATCCATGCTTGATTCCTCTAAATGCAATTTTGTTCCAGTAGATAAATTCACAAACAAATTGTTATGCAGAAGTTACGAGATACAAATACATAATTTCACATTGATCTTATATTTTGTATACAGTGTATTTTATCGATGGAGAATGTTACATTTTTTACCCATTCTGATAAGTTTTAATATGGCATATTTTTAGAAGACTGTGTATTTTAGAAGTAGAGAGATGCCAGTGTGTAGTTGGTACCGGTGAAGGGTTAAATATTTAGAGAAATAAGTTCTTTTTATAATGGCACAGTAATTAAAAGGATTCTCTGCCTGTAGGTATTGTGTTTTGGAGTGAAAAACTACTGTTTGAAGGCAGCGTGCAAAAGAGCTATTAGAAGGTCTCTGTTGAGAACCTGAAGGCCTCTTGCTAATATTTCATGAGTAACTTTCTGGGTCCTAGTAAACACTGCAGCTACTATGGAGTATTTTCAGGATTGGGGCCATTTTTTCCCTCTTCCCAATATTAAGTGCTGTATAAACCTCCTTTTTTCTGGTGCCACTGATAAAGTAATAACCAATCAATAGTATCTAATTCTGCTGATTCTAATAATCTTTACTTGTACATTGTTCTAAGTATTTCCAGCAAAGGCAAAGTAAGCAGCCTATTATTAGTATGCCTATTGGAATTCTATATAAATATTAACATTGTCCATTTAACCAAAAGAAGAGCTTCTTATTTATAAATCTCGTAATACTGGAAACATTATCCTTTTAAAGTTAAGCATGTTTTCATAAAATTTTATATAGTTGAACAAAGTTGGCAAGCAAAATAGTTAGGGCAAGCTGACAATTCAAATTTCTTTTCCTTCAAAAGCTATTTTTTTAAGTTGTTGAAAGTTAATTACTTAAGAGACATAAGCAATGCATTTATTGAGATAACTGATGTAGTACATCCTACATTTTAACTACTGGAACCAAAGGGCACATGTAAACTAAATGAAGGGCATGTGCGCATGACACTTAAAGCAGGTTAAATACTTTTGCACCGCTTTAATGGTGTTGGTGTTTGCATGCGTCAGCGGCGTTTGTACATTAATTTCAGCTGCTGAAATGCACCTTAAATGACTTTGGCGTGCAGCAAACTAAAACACCTCCAAGGAGTTTTAGTTTTAGTTTGCTGATCTATAGCCGTGGAGCAAAGCAACTGGCTCTGTGCGGCTCAGGGACTGTACCAGCAGCCTGTGCCGGCAGCCTGGCAGCTGCCTGGGAAGGCAGGCTCCACTGAAGAAGAGAAAGAAAATAGCGGCAAGCCTGATCTTTTTTTTTTTTTTTCCCCTTGGAGCCTGCCTGCCTGAGCTGTGCAGGGGCCTGGTCCTTCCCTCCACGGCTGCGGTGCCCCCCAGGACCACCCGAGCAGGTCCCTGGGGGTGGGGCCGCCGGTGCCACGGAGGGACACACCAGCTCTCCCCTTTCCCTCACAGCCCAGGGACCGCTCCACCCACTGGCAGCTCATCCTCCCCTCCCCACTGCCAGAGAGGCAGGTAGGACACAGGTGTACACAACACGAGCGTTTACCTCACCCAAAATTTAAGCGATGTTTTTAAAAACCCACTGCTTCAATTTAGGACCCCCATTTTGTCTACACATGCCCAAAGTTACTAATTGCCAACAGCATATGATGGCATGTCTTTGAAATGAGGAATAGAATGGTAGCTGCTAACTACAGCTACGTGCTTTTTGCATTTGATAAAAAAAGTTTTCATCTTTTTTTTTCCCTTACACGGGCTGCATTTTAGCTTGCCATGACTCACCCAAGCCATCACTTAAACTTTGGAATGAATCCAGACCATGCAAGAAATTCGTTATCCAACTGTGGAATTCGACAGCCCAAGTATGGAGACCGAAAAGTCCATCACATGCACATGAGAAAAAAAGGTATGCAGTTAAGACATCCGTTTTCTCTCTCGCAAGTAAAATTGCCATCAGCAAGTAGTTATTTGGCCTATCTTCTTCTGAGAAATATCACCATTCATCCAATATAGAAGATAACAGTGCTTGTGCATAAATTACTAGATTCTGTGAATTAGTAAGCAACTGATGAAATAAGCAAGGATAAAGTATTACAGAATATATTTTGTGTTATTTTAGCAAGCATAGCTTTTTCTTGTTGTATATTTCACAACAGAGTAAGAATGCTAAAGTTATTTCATAAAACTGATGACGTCTTGGTAAATGAAACTTGTTTGTAATGCTGCAGTGTAATCCTTGCTAAAATGTGTGGTCTATCTGCTGCACAGCTTTACACCTCTATATATGCAGTGTAGTTGTACAAATGTCTGTTATTTATATGGTGTTTAGGGTCTTGCTGTGTCTCATTTGACCCTGACCTTTCTGTACCCTTTTGTCTGGCACTGTGAATGTAAAAGCAGTTTGCAGTGGGCAGGTATCTACTAGTGGGATCTATAAAGGGTATTCCTGAATAAATACCTTCCTGATATAATTAAACTCTAAATCTACGATATTTCTGCTTTCCTAATGATTCAACAGTTGTGTTTTAGATGAGCAATGATATTTTTGTATGCCAATAACAAAGTAATATACAAAGTAATTGCTTAAAATCTGTTCAGATCTATTCAAAGAGTTTGTGAATATACATACTAAATTTGTATTTCTTTTTTATATTTACAGGAATAAATACCTTGATAAATATTATGTCACGTCTTGGGCAAGATGACCCAGCCCCTTCTAGGTAAAGAAAACAGCCGGTACTTTAGCTTGTAATGTTTTTAGATAAGTCAACATGCATACATGAACACAATTTTTGTGGCCGTAAAAGAAAAATTAAATAGTTTGTTAATAACACAGCTTGATTATTTAAGTAGCTGTGTGAAGGAAGGAAACGTCTGCACTCGTATGTATACAACAAAAAGAAACTCTTTCCAAAAGTATTGAACATTTTGTGAAGCAGGACTGTTAACCAAATCAGATGGTTTATTGTCAGTGAGAACTTTGAAAAAGTGTGTCGGGGGCGGGGACAGTAAGAGTAATGAATGGAAAGTTGGGCTTGGGGAATCTTATTTTGAAGTCCTAAAAACATCACTTGCCAGAGATGCCCTGCACATCCTTTCAAAGTGACACAGAAAACTGAAGTACTAGCTTTGTCAGGCATGCAATAGCTATGAATTTAAGAGCTCTTAAGGAGAATCTGCTTCAGTCTAGAAAGCATAAAAGAGCATTTGAACATCTGTGCTTTGGTAACTGAAAAGGTTGACAGCAAAATGCTACATGTGTTTTACTTTTCATTGTAGTTGAACACTTGTTGTGAAGTACCTTCTGTGCCCCCTTTATTAATGGTGTGCAATATCTTACCTCATGAATAATCCCATTGAAATCAGTGAGGCTACCAAACATGAGTAAACAACACAAAATCCAGTCCAAAATAAGGACTTTTCTACAGTATAGAATGCCCTGCAATAACTATTTCAGCACTGCTGTGCCAGGAGAGCCCCCTGTCTTAGTGTAGATGAAGTATGTATAAGGTGGTTCTCTGCTAGCATAGTTATACCACCTCCCTGAATGACAAGGTTCCTAAGCCATGTGGATTTATGCCCCATTATAGTATAGTCGGGCATGAGCTGATGCTGCATCCAGTTCATCCCACCAATGCAAATAATAGCAGGGGCAAGTGGCAGCAGTGGCTGAAATAGGCAGGTAAAAGAGTGCCTGAAGTAGGAGGTGCAAAGCACCCAACTGTACTACTGTGCTGCTGCAGATTTGATGCCATGATTTGTACATCCTGCCCCCCACAAGCCTTTTGTGTAGGACACATCCTGCAGTTTGGGAAACACTGACTTAACTGTTGACATAGCTGTATCTGTGCCAGGTGTTTTGTAGTCCTTGACACACAGAACATTAGGATGGAAGGGACCTCAGGAGATCATCTAGACCAACCCCCTGCTCAAACCAGCTCAAACCAGGACCAGTCCCAACTATATCATCCTACACAAGGCTTTGTCTAGCTGAGTCTTAAAAATCTCCAAGGATGGAGATACCACCTCCTCTTTGGGTAACTTGTTCTAGTGCTTTTAGTTTTCCCTAATATCTAACCTAAACTTTCCTTGCTGAAACTTGAGACCGCTGTTCTTTATCCTATTATCTGCCACCACTGAAAACAGACTAGCTCCATCCTCTTTGGAAACAACCTTCAGGTAGTTGAAGGCTGATATTAAATTCCCCCTCAATCTTCTCTTCTCCAGGTTAAATAAACCCAGTTCTCTTATATATGGTCTTTCATCCACTGCCAGCATCCAGCCAATGTAGTTATGTCATCAGGGCAGGGTTTTAAAAACCAATGGGGCCAGGAAGCAGGCTCAGACATTTTTAGTGATGGAAATCTCAGAAATTTCTACTGCTAAAAATAACACCTGTTTCTGACATGCGTAAGGCCTTAACCCTCACCAGCCTATGGCTCACAATGCCTTGAAAGTAATACATTGCAAACATCATCATTTACTCTCTGTCCACTTCACTTTTAACTTTTTAATTGCCTGCTGCTGTGAGCAATGGAGGGTCCTCTTGCATTGAAGCTGTGGGTTTGGAAATCATTATGCTAACATAATCTATAATTACAAAATACTATTTGTAAGCATTCATCCAATATCCATCAGAGACTAAACTTTCCTCCCAAAGGAAAAGAAAAACAGCACCTATTAGTCAGCCTTTCTTAAGTAAAAGCTATGCTTCTAAGAGCTGTGTTTTCCATTATGTCTCCATAGAGAGGAGTTATAGTATCACTGACAATTATTGCTTTGTGCAGCATTGCTGCTTGAAGCCCATGGGCCCCTATACATGTGCAGGGAGGTTGCTCCAGTGCCCTGTAATTACAGCACATTGGAGCAGACTTGGTTAATCAAATCTGCTGGAGTGTGGTAATTACCATGCTCCAGCAAACTCCAGCGTCACATGTATCAGCATCCCCGCACTGAAAAATGGCAGCGGGGCACTTTAAACAAAAGCTCGTTTAATGAGCTTTAAGTTCAAAGTTCCTACCACTATTTTTCAGTGCAGGGATACTGATACACATGATGCCTCCAGGGTCATAGAATCATAGGGCTGGAAGGGATCCTGAAGGATCATCAGGTCCAGCCCCCTGCATGAGCAGGGAAGACATTTGGGGTCAAATGACCTCAGCCAGGTGACTGTCTAGTCTTCTCTTGAAGACCTCTAGGGTAGATGATTGCACCACCTCTGAGGGGAGCTTGTTCCATAGTCTGGACACCCTAGCTGTAAAGAAGTTTTTCCTAATGTTCAGCCTGAAACTATCTTCCAGGAGTTTGTCGCCATTGTTTCTAGTTTTTCCCCAGGGCGCCCTGGTGAACAGTTGTTCACCGAGCCCTTGATGTATGCCTCTGATATAGCAGTAAGCCGCAATCAGGTCCCTTCTCAGCCTTCTTTTCTTTAGGCTGAGGAGTCCGAGATCCTTTGGCCTGTCCTCGTATGGCTTGCCATGCAAGTCCCTGATCATGTGGGTGGCCCTTTTCTGGACCCTCTCAAGATTCAGCAGGTCCTTGTTGAAGTGCGGCACCCAGAATTGGATGCAGTACTCCAGCTGCGGGTCGGCCCGTGTTGAGTAAAGTGGGAGAATCACGTCTTTGGATTTACTGGAGATGCATCAATTGATGCATGCCAGAGTTTTATTGGCCCTAGTGGCTACTGTGTCGCATTGCCGGCTCATATTCATGCTGGGGTCTATTGTTACCCCCAGATCCCTTTCATCTGTAGTGCTGGTCAGGTTAGTGATGCCCAGCCTGTCAGTGTGCTGGGAGTTCTTCCTTCCCAGATGCAGCCCTTTGCATTTCTTTACATTGAACCTCATCTGGTTTTGTTCTGCCCAACATGCCAGCCTGTCTAGGTCTGCTTGTCTCTGCAGCCTGTCTGTGGGTGTATCCGCACAGCCCCATATCTTGGTGTCATCCGTGAACTTGGCCAATGGGCTTTTCACTCCCTCATCCAGGTCGTTCATAAACATATTGAACAGCACTGGGCCAAGTACCAACCCCTGGGGTACGCCGCTGCCCACATCTCGCCAGGACGACACCGATCCATTCATCTGGACTCTTGTGTCCTACCCTGCAACCAGTTTCACACCCGCTTGATGATCCCGCAGTTGAGCCCGATATACTTCAGTTTTATAAATGTGTATAAGTGCCCTTTCAGTATGTACCAAGGTGTGCTTTATAAGAAGTCAGTTGGGTTACTTAATTATTTAAGGGGAGAGAATGACAATAAAAGCTGCAAATTTCTTGAAAAGTGACCACTGAAAAGAAACTTCCCATGAATGTAGCTCCAGTTCTACAAATATCACATTTGTGAAGTCAGTGGAATTACATACTTACTTGAACTTACGAATGTGCATAAGAGTTTGAAAACTATTGTATCTTATGTACTACATTCCTTTCTTTTTCAGTGACAATTCCCTGCTGTCTTTCAGTTATAAATAAAACTTTTAAAGCGAGGAAGGCATGAAAGAAGGGAAGCTTCAAGCAAAACAAAAAAACCCAGTCTGGAGTGCTCTTACAAGTAATAAAATAGATTAGACAGAGGAGGTCTAGAGGAAAGCTAAACTTATTAATAATTTAATAGTGTATTTGATGCTCTGAAAAACAGAAGCACTTCTAGCATGCGTGTCAAACATATCGCCATGAGCCAAATCTGGCCTGAAGAGCTCCATTATCTGGCCCCCAGTGATGCCCCTGGATCTGAATTGATTGGGACCAGCCCTGCAAGTAGGATTAGATCTGTGCCACACTCAGCACCTGCCCTAGCCGCTCAGGGATCCATTGTACATGTGGTACCTGCCCTAGCCACTCCAGGATGGGCGCCATATGCAGTGTAGATCCTGGAGTTGCCAGAGTGGGTGCCGTGGGTGCTAGATCCAGGAGGAGGAATGGCCTATGGGTCTGCTGGCCGGCCCATGGACTGGCCTCACTTTTCTCATCTGATTTATAGACTCCCTTGTAGCTATGACACAGTGATAGCCTACTGCAGAATCAACACACTCAGGAAGTTGCTTATCATACACACATCCGTAGTAGCATATACAAGACTGAAGTTGTTAATTTATTTGAAATCATCTGGTGCCCATGGCAATGTACAAAAAAACTCAGTCACAGTATGGTGTTCCACACTGTTAGTCAGAAATACTGCTTCCTGTCTCTTTGTTAAATGCCAACAATAACATATAGTAAAACATATAAAGATTCAAAGACTCTGGCTGTCATCCCTGAGTTTGATAACCCAGATATTCATGACTGCATATCACAAGGAAAAGTGTCAAAAAAGGAAAGCAGACAGAACCAAACTCCTTTCCCTGCCTGATCAGCAAATGAATTAAACTTTTTTTTTACTCTCTTTATTGCACAATTATTCATGAAGTTTACTGAAGTTGAATCTCAAATCTTTGCAGGATTAACCACAACGAGCGTCTAGAATTTCTGGGAGATGCTGTAGTAGAATTCTTAACGAGGTAAGGGTGGAATTTTTCTATAACATTCTTCATTGTCTTTCTCGTTAATCAAATGTGTATGTTACATCTTAACATTTGGTTTTGTTATGCTTCAAAGCTTTTGTGCTTCGACTGTATAATGTAGACCATGCATACAAATGTCTGCGTTGTTTATTTTCTAAATATAAGTAAATGTACAAATATTATATAAATTATATATGTAGTAAAATTGTGCCAAGGACTGCAAAATTTTAAGAGTTCCACATCTGCGTATGCATAGTTTGAAGTCTCTTCCAATACTGAAGCTGTAAAGAATAAGATTACAGGATGAAAAGCTAGTGTCTCTATCCTGTCAGATATAATTTAAAGTTGCTCGTGACAGTAAGAAAATAATTTGTCTTGGGTCAAATTCCTTACAGTATATATCCAGTTTGTAAAGAAAATAATCTCTCTTTTAAAAAATGTCATTTTGTTTCCATGGATATTCTTGGTCTTTTCCCCTCTAATCTCAAGTGAGAAGTGTTTACAAGTAAAACCAAGTGTGTAGAAATTTCTAAGGGGATTTATTCTGTAAACCTTAGTCCTGAAGGACATAGCTTGCACCTTTCGTATAAATGACATAAATATATTTACATTCAGACATGTACTATTTAAAAATAAAACATTCGCAGTGCATCAAAAATTGCAACCATTTTGCTCAGCTGAGTCTTAGGGAAGTAATGACGAGTATTAGAAGATTATGAAAGTACTCAAACATGCCTCTCTGAATCTTGCTCGAGTGAGTCATCTTTGTGAATAGTGTTGTCTGTAACAAAAAGCAATCGGAAAATTCAGTGAGAAAAGGTGTGTATCCATTCCAAGTTCCCTTATCTGATAATTTTTAATATGGAAATAGTTAGATAACTTAGAGAACTGTTTAAAAGAAGCTAATAGTGTCATAGGTCATATAAATCCTCTTGTATATCCTTTTCCCGATACCTATTAGCTATTCTCAATTAAAAGCTAAGTCCTGTAAACAAACAACACTTAGGGTTTCAGCTTCAGTTTAGCAGGAATGGGGAGGAGCCAGCTAAATATTAAGCTCTGTCCCTCTTCTATACAACCATAACCCCGGAAAAATCTTTTTTTTCTTCGTTTTGCCTTTCAAAACAAGTTGCATATTATATTCTAAGGTGTGTTGTATATGAGAAAATACAATATTTGCATCAATTTCTATTCAAGGAATTAATTACATGCTTACTTAACTGAAGCATGTATTTAAGTTGCATGTATTTCAAGGCCTTTTCTGGTTGCTTTGCTTGAATTGGGGTCCTTAATTTTATTGTCTTAACATGTTATTAACAAATCTATTCTTAAATAACCTAAATAATTTCACTTCATCAGAAAAAATGCTATCTCACTCTTTGTTCAGGTAATTAATACATATATTAGCTGCACTGAGTTATGTAAGACTTTATATGCTGTGGTATCTCGCAAGAAATTTATCATTTAACATGCAGGTTTTAAATACTTGAAATAAGATAACAATATGATCGATCAAAATTCCTATCTATTGTATTGAAAATAGGAGCCCAAAGGTCAAGTGACTAGTAATTTTGATTACTTTAACTTCCATGTAGCTAGCTTTTGAGGGGACCTAATTTAAAGGTTGCTTCATGGTATCTCAGGTTGGGTCTCTATAAATTGAGGTACCCAAAATCATGACTATTACTTTAACCTGTCTTGGCTGGGTCATTTAATTCAATCTTTTTCTTGACTCATAGCCCATTTGTAACCCATGGTTGTACTGTTTCCTTAAGTTAGTTCCTAAATTTTCTCATGAAGGACTTCATTAAGCACATTTTAAAAGTCTCCATTTTTGTTAATTTTTTACTCTTCATTCTGTTAATGACATTTGACTGCCTGTCAGAAGCAAGGTAGTTTGTTCTGCTCTGTCTGTCAGCCCCTGCATCCAGCCTCATTCCAGTGGATCTTCAGTCAAGCTCACGGTTTCTTCGTATTTTACAGACAGCTCAGTTGTTTTATGGACTTTATGAACAAACATTTTTAGCCTTTTCTTTAGCAACCCTATAGGGTTAAACACCTATAGGTCTGTGACATAAAGTAGCTAGAGACTGATGGTTCCTACCTGTGTTTCGTCCCCCAGATCGTCGGTTCCCCTCCCCGCCTTGGGTTTGGGTCCAACCTGCTGCTGAAGATAATAGAGGCAATCTCAAGTATTTCAAAATTGCCTACAAAGTAATAAAAACTTTCTTTGCTTAGTCTTTGTTTTAAAAAGATCATTTTCTTACTTCCAGTGAGATTTTCTGGGGACTGTGAGAACATGATAGGGTGTCAGCATTCCACAGAGCTGCACAAAATTGATATGGGCATCTTGAATCTAAAGCATTTGAGTGACTTTTCCTTTTCTTTTTCAGTGTTCATCTGTACTATCTGTTTCCAACTCTAGAGGAAGGAGGACTAGCTACGTATCGCACTGCCATCGTTCAGAATCAGCATCTTGCTATGTTGGCTAAGGTATGTGCAGACCTTTTAATCTCTTTCTTTGTATGAATTAGTTTGCTGTGATATCTGGGAGTAGGTGGCTGGTTCTTGCTGCCCAATTTATATTAGTGTCTTTACCATATACTTTGAATTTGATTTTGATCACTAGTCATGTTATCAGGAGTTTTGAAGATAGGCTTTGAGTCTATCTTCAGTCACATGAGACACTGCAAACCATCTGCACCATCGGCTGCAATATCCACTGTGTCTCACAGACGAAAGAATGCCAATCAGACTTTGAGGAAGTAATATTTGAAATAGAGGGACCATTCAAGAGGAGGGTGTACTTCAGCTATAGGACAGAATGTGAGGATTTCCATTATTTAGTTATCCATTTATTTAAACTTTTTGGAGTTATACTTATCAATACTAAATAGGTAACTAGTGTGATGCTAACTAGATAATGGAAAATCAAATTTGGTAATTATAGGAGGCCATATGGCAATATACGTACAAAGAAAATCCAAGGGAGAAAAACCTCTTTGATTATTTTCTAATTTGAATGTCAGATAACACAAACCTGAAGAGTGAACAAAAAGCTTTAGTAATATATAATGTGGAAAAAAGAAGGTTCTCTATGAATTTAGTATATTAGATTTCATGAATTACATTTTAGTAACTTTTTTCTCTGATAATTAAGGTAAAACTATCACACAGACCCAATTTTAAATTATTTTCACAAAGATTTGGCAATCTCTTCTTCAGCCATGGTTTTGTTAACCAGTGAAAATCTTGCCACGTGCTTTTTTTTGTTGTTGTTACTCCCCTCACTGCCCTTTTTTAAAATTAGTCCTACAAGTTGCAGACTTACTAACATAAGGCAATAGATTGCAAAAGACTAATGTGTTGTGTATAGTCTATGGTTTCAGAATGCCCTTTTAATCCTTTCTCCATAGCCACTCAATAATTTAAACAAGTGGTATCTACTCCAGAGTTACTGTCAAAGTTCGTGTGATTACTTTTATATCCTCTTGATGTTCATTTCTTAAGAAGGCTAGTGGGGCAGGAAATGAACACAGTAATTTTCTTCCATGTGGCTTCTTTAAGTGTGTAATGAGAGACACTATGTAGATTACAGAAAATGACTGAGAAACTTTTGAATTGAGACTTCATTTATAAATAAGTTGTTTAAACTGCCTGACACTTGAATTCATTTTCTCATTTTAAATCCTGTTCAGGTTCATATGCCCTTAAAAACGTGTTCATAATATTTTGAACAAAATAATAATATAATTATATAATAATGTAAGACCTATAATAATCTGACTATAAGATGACCCCCAATAATTTGATTCTGTATATGGAAAAAATATATTTTTTATAATTTTCTAGGTGTAGAATTTAATTTTCAGAGAGTTGTCTTGAATTTGTCCACCTTCCACTGCTACAACAGGGAAAATAGTGGCTACAGAAGGGAGTCAGGTGGCTGAGGTGCCCTCTGCTCCCCCCACCACTTCTTCCCTCTGCACAGTCCCTCCCCTCCTTACTGTCAAACCCCACTAACTCCCAAAGCATACTGTGCAAGTGAGCTGCACATGACAGAGGGGAGGGCAGCAGATGCCTGCCCTCCCTTGAAAATTTGAAATGGAAGAAACTAAAAAACACTGACTTTGAAATAAACCTAACTATAGTAATGCACATTATTATAGGTACTACAGGCCTAGTTGGTCCAGAATTGACTCATTTTAACTAGTTACAAACTGCTGCAAGTTTAAGCACATACTTCATAAACATACTTTTGAACACCACTTTTTTACCTTTTTCTATATAGTAGAAATTGCTTGATATTAGTCCACAACCAAAAGGCTCATGACTTATCATATAGTGCATTGGGCAGGTCCCCAGTAGAGGCAACAGTGGTTCAAGCCAGGGTTATCCCACAGCCCAGCACTACTCAGTGCTACCCCCTTCCCCCAAATAATTCACATCCTCATTAGCCCCCCCACACTCATGAGTGGAACTGGGCATTCTTGTCTCAAGTCCTGGGACCCTCTAAAATGTATATGCAGATGAAGCTCAGGGCTGCCTGGTCCATCTCCTCCCTGTAGAGAGTGGAGTCACACTAATCACGTACGACAGGCTAGGAGAGGGGACAACAAAGATTATCAGCTACATAGAAGTTTGGTGATGTTTGCCAGACATTTAAGACTGGTGAAGAAACAGGAATAATTGGAAATGGGAAAGAAAGGCACTTCTCAGCTATGGGAGTGAAAGAGGAAGTCAAAATGTATTTGGTGTAGTGGTTCACCATGACTTTAAAAAAAGTTGGTCCTGAGGGGGACTGAGTACAATGGGCACTATATCTTATTCAGATGAGCTGCACTAACCTTGGCTTGTGGTATGCTGGCCCAATATGAGAGATATTTTATGGGCATGCTGAGCCTGGACTGTATTCAGTCAACTTCATAGTTGCTTTCCATGATTAAGCATATGATAGACAAGGCATTTAATGGGGGAGGAGGCAGGTTGGTATGTGAATATAAGATGAGGGGCTTTCTTTACCCATGCTGATTATGGGCAGAGGACTGTCTTGTATTTGACTAAACATGCTAGATGTATAGCTTATTTGTTCAAATCTAAGATGACCCCCCCAATTATTAGATTGTAGATATTGAAAATGATCAATTTAATTTTCCATAACTAGAATCTAGTTGGTGGAGGGTCCTTTTAAATGCATCAGCCCACCCCTACCACAGGGGAAAGTAGTGACAGGGGAAACAGTGTCTGGGGGGGCAGCAGCCTGCACTATGCCCCTTTCCCCCCTACCTTGCTACTTGTTTCTTGTGCCTGCCTCCCTGCTGTCTGTCCCTCCCCTAGTGCCTTCCTCCTCCTAACCTTTGTCCCCTTCACATTTGCAGCTGTTCTTGCTCTGTCTCAGGGGGAGCTTGAGAGACCTGGCTAGGCCAGGCCAGGCAGTAGCAGTGGTTTGGGCTTCAGCCTCCAGCGTCAGTCGGAGTTGGGATTGGGGCTGGGGCCAAAGCAGCTCCATGAACCTTTTCCCTGCACTTCCCCTGCTTTGTGTGTTTCTTTCCCCATGCTCCACTTCCCCTGCATCCTAGGCATCCCTTTCACCATGCCCCTTCTCCTACACCCTTTCCCTGCACTCCCCTCATTCCATGCATCCCTTCCCCATGATTCCCCTAGCACTACACACCTTTCCCCCATGTTTCCCCTTGGGTGATGTTTCAGTAGACTACTTACCCTTGTTAGTATTCCTATTTTGATCAGATATTGATGCCGTCTTCGGGACCCATCTTTTATTTATCCTGTGTGCCCAAAATGCTGACTTAATTTCAGGATTCCAGTCACCGGTTTCTATACAGCTGAAGTTATTTTATAATAGAAATTTAGAAAATATATCTTTGATCTGCCTTGATGAAATATGAAGTTAAAAATGTATCCAAAAAAAAGGCATTAAGACATCAGGAAAAAAAAATGGGAACTGACATTAGAAGTTGAAAAATAGCCTTTAGGAAGTTTAAATTCAATATAAAAAACAATTAATTTTATTCTTTGATGTCAGTTCTCACAAGCAACTTGCCTCAACATATAAAGTGCAATGTAACTTAATAAGTGATGATTTCTTTTATTCTGTAAAGTGAATAGGTATTAAACCACTGAAAACTCTGTGCTGTTTTTTTTAATTGAAATGCATGTAGACCATACATCTCTGAAATGTTTTAGTTCTCCACCCTCACCTATTAAATACACTCTAGGGGGATGAAGTAGAAAGTTAATGAGAAATTGGTAGTAGAAACTTCCACCGGTTTAGGAAAAACCTATTCTAATACCGTTTTTTGCAAGATACATAAATCTCCCTTTAAAAATCTGTTTTAATGGCTTTGTGTCAAAGATGAATACATAAATGAAAACGAATAACTCCTGCATGCATTTCAATTCCAGAATTATAATATATTAGTACATAATGTATCTGACTCAGTACTTGTGAATCTTACTGGCAAGCTGTGCTGTAGATTATTAAATACATGATGTGAATAGCATGTCTGTGAGAAAAGCAAAGCTAGGTGGCAGTGTGGATTAATACACCAGCCTTCTCCTTGCTGTCAGTAGCAGTATTTATTACTGCCACCTGTTGACCCATCAGTCCCTGTTTACAGAGAGAATCTGCATTTTCATTGGACTGCTCAGTGCTGGTTTTTTTCTCCTTGTGGTTTTTTTTCCTCCTCTTGTTTGTAAGATTTTTCTTCATCTTTAACTCTCACTTCTAGTGCCCCTTCATTGAGGAGCAACATGAAAAAAATAGTATAATGACATCATTCAACCAGCATTGCATTGCATTTCTCCCCTCTTTCTTCCTACATGGTTCACTCTAGCTTTCCCTCCAGTGTTGGTTTTGTAATTTTCTGGGTTTTTTCCACTTAGGAACTTGACTCAGGAATTCAACATCAAACTGTTTGCTTGCATGCTAACAAGCTACATGAGTGACCCAGCTGTATGTTTGAAGGCAGGTTATGTAGTCACTACTTTTCAGTTTTCCTTCAATGCAGTTGCTCTGCAATAATAATACTAAAAACAATAATACTGTCCCACGGCCAAGGTACTTATATAATGACTGACTTCTTAAATATGTGATATTTTTATAGTACAAATGGTCTACAGTTTTGGCTGTCTTTTTCACATGTTGTGTTGATGTTTCTAGAAGCTGGAACTGGACCGGTTTATGCTTTATGCTCATGGACCTGACCTTTGCAGGGAATCAGACCTCCGCCACGCAATGGCAAACTGTTTTGAAGCCTTGATAGGTAAAATTCATACTCTCTGTGGATGCATGCAAGTCTGTGTGCACATGTATGAATGTGTGATGTATTTGTAATATGAATATTCAGCCGTACAAGTGATTTAATTTTCTTGCTCTTTTGCATTATCATTTGTAACCTCCTCAATGCTCTAGCACTTTCTAGCTCCTCCAAGCTCCTCCATGCAGTCTTAGAATTTCATTTGACCAGCAGGGAATACTTCTTTGTCCTGAACGCTGTAGAAATTCCTCTAATACTGCGTTTCTGTTAAGGTGGTCAGGGATTTAGGATAAAGTTGCACATATGAAAAAAATGGGGAAACCTCTCAATGTAATTTTTTTAACTGTAAACAAAAGAGCTGTATATTGTAACTTTGCTTCTTGACTGTTCTGCAGTGAGCATGTCTTTGTAGACTGGTCCTATCCTTAAAGCTTTACTTGTATTCATTATTATCCAGATTTAGCAGACAGTTGCAACCAGGTCACAGAATCGTCTTTTCTTTGTCTGCTTGTTACTTCTTAGTTACTAATGTAGGTGGAACAGGCAACAGCCAAGGACATTTTTTGGGCCTCTTTTCCCCAAAAACAACCTTGGCAATTCAGCAGCTTTAGGAAAAAGAAATATATCAAGTCAGCTTGAAAGGCACTAATGTCATATTCCGTGATTGACTGCTCTGGATCCTAGACAGAAGTAACATTTGTAGTGCTATATGTGCCTTTATAGTACTACAAGAGTTTAGCGGAGAGGTATTCATACCCCTTTTGTAGCACTTACACCATTTTTGTAGCATTAAAGTGCTGCTGATTGAAACAACAACCTCTCTATAGGTCTGCAAAACGTAACGATAGAGATTGTGTGTGGAAAATGAACCATATTGTGATGGGGTCTCTTGGTCCCCCAGCATCCCACAGTGATCTGCTCTTCCTTTCTTCCCTATCACAGGAAGAGGGAGAGAAAGCAGAATGAAAAGTTTATGAGCTCTGCTTCAATGATCAGCAATCACTAGAACTGGAGAGTGAGAATCCCTGTGAGCCTCTCTGCCTCAGTCTTCCAGTTTCAGTAGGGGGGGGAAGGCATAACTGCAGCTCTCTTTCCACCAGGGCCTACAGTAGGTTCACTGATGGACTTTTCTCCTAAGCAGCTCCTTAGTTGAGCAATACTTATAGCACTATATATTGTTATGCCCCAGGTAACAAGTATCAATAAAGAGGGAGAACCATAGAATGTGTCTGCTGTTATCAACCAAATCGGATAAAACGAGGCAGCAGACAGAAGGTCTTCATTGAATCTGTCACAGGAAGGCTCTACTTTATATCGTATTTCATTTATAATTCCTTTTTTATTCCTGTTGAACAGAAATAAACAAAATCTGCTGATAAAAATGTACGTAGATAAACCTAGTCATTCAGATTTATACTTTGCAATCGATAATTCATATATGTTGAGTACAGTATTGACTGTGTAAAATAACTCTTGTTCCAGGCCCCTCTCAAGCTTTTGCACTACACTAGCTCCTAATGCATTTTATGCTGGCCCTGAAAAATATACTGTCATTTGCTTAGACGGTAACAGCTATATGCATTCTGCCTTGGGCTATAATGCATTTCATCTGATGAAGAAGTAAGAGTTCCCCTTTTAACTGTGCTTCACTTTTTCATGAATGCTTTGATCTTTAATTTACAAATAAAAAAAGAAACAGAAAAATGATCGCTAGATTTGTATCTACTGGTATTTCAAATGTTTTCTCCTGGTAGGAGGTGGTAGTTGTTGTATTGCGGGGATCTGATTTACTAAGAAAAGCAGGCCTGCTATTACAAGAAGTTACATGTGTAAGTAAGGTTTTCTAGGGCTGTCTATAAAAGGCCGGAGGTTGTTTGGTGTGGGGGAAGAGAAGCACCTAGGACTCCTTCATTTAATGTTAAGAAATAAATGACCAGAGTCCTTTTCCCTAAAATAAAAACAATGTCCAAAAAATATAAGGAGTGCTCTGGTATCAATACTAACATAATTTATTTCTGGCAAGCTTTTCCACAGATGCCACACACTGTTGTCCGTTCTTACCCATTCTTGTGGCTATTTTCTGAAAAGCTCTAATTACAAAAGCACTAATTATTTCTTGTTTTGGAATAAGGACTTGAAATATGGCAGGGGTCTGACCACTGTGGAGGGCAGTGCCTTTTGCACTACCCGTAAAAATATTGTGTACGTGTGCCCAAGGAAAAAGTAAACACTTGTAGATTATTTGAAACCATTGTTTGGTAGCTAACCTAAGGAAATCCATGCTATAGCTACTATTGCTATCCTCCTAATTTACCCTCTGTTTTATACACATTGGCTGAATATTTCCTTAAATCAGCAGTGGGCAACTTTTTTCTGGCAGTGGGCTAGAATGGCTGAGCTCAGGTTCAAAGTAGGCTAGTGCTAGGATCTGTCTGCTACAGCTGCCACCAGCTGACTGCGGCATAGTATGGGCAAAGTTCCCTGCTCCCCAAGCACGGCATGATGTAGTACAGTACAGACTAAGTCAACCACTGCCTTGGCCCACAGCTCTGCTGGCCATATCTAGCCTGCAGGCCATAGTTTGCCAGCCTGTGTCGTCTTAAATTACATGCATATTTGTATATGCCTTCTGTGCATGTGTATAGCAGATAACACACAGGACACCATCCTAGTTGGAGCTCTTGGATACTAGTTGTTACTAGTATTATTTTTTTGTCATTCCCCTCTGATCTTGCTCTAAAGCATTCATTTCAAACCATGACCCAAGACATCATTTTGGTTTTATTCCTATATAAAATTGCTGCTAAGGCCTCAGAGTTTTAACAACAGAGCACTCAGTATGCTAATACACCAAACTTTGGGGTTTGGGACAGGAAAAAGAATATTACTGTAATAGAGCAGTGGTTTTCAACCTTTTTTTATTTGCATATCCTTAAAATTTGAATGGAGGTGCGGAGCCCTTTGGACATTTTGAATTGCAGGTGCAGACCCCTTTGAATTGTAAGTGTGGGTATTCACATACTTTTGATTGATCATAGTCCTCTTTTGCAGACCCCTTAGACATAGTCTGCACACCCCCAGACCCTACGGGAGAAAAAAATTGAACAATGTGGAATACTGGGACTGACAGGTTTGAAAGCAGAGCAGAATATTGCCAAGAGGCAGAATATACACAGTTTATACCTCAATGTTGCAATTTATTTCATAGTTATCAGTTTCCATATGTACATAGGCGACTAGTAGGAAGGTAAGGGGGGGCACATGCCCTCTCTGACAGGGCCGTCTCTGCCACTGCCAGCAGCTTATGCAGGTGCTCGCCAGCCCCGTCCCCTCTGCCGGCTTCTGCAGGTGCCCCCCCAGACTCAGGAGGCACCAGTCACCCATGCATATACATATAATGTAAAAGAGAATTTTAGCTACCTGATGACTTGAAAAAATGTATAACGTACGATTACAAGTAACTTCTTCTGGCACATCATTTGGCATTCC